ATTTTAAATTTCAGTAGGTCCATGCATTTAAATCTGAAGATCTTTTGGATCATGGTTGGTTTACCTACAATTGGATTTTATAGTATAAATACTAGAGATATCCCCATAATAGCATCAGGTAGCCATGAATTTGCGTATGCAAAAACGCTGAATATTTTTTTCTCAGTACCAGAAAATCTACCAACAAACTGGATTCTTTACGTCTCTTTCCAATATCTAAAAAATTGTGGGCCGAATTTTCGTACTGTTATTCAGTATGATAAAGTTAATAATAAAATTTGTTTCACCATTTATGATGAATTCAGTATAAGCCTTAGCAACTATGATAAATTAAAAAAAGAATATTTACTCCATTGGTGTATTCTTCCTGAAGATTGTAAAGTTTTAGCTGATGTTCTTAAGGATAGAAAGGTCTTAATAGATGTTCTTCCCAACAATAAAAACTTAGCTACAATTCTTGAAAATCAAGAAATTTTAACTATTTTGTCTCCTGAAAATCAAGATATTTTTCCGGAAGAAAGATTTAATTTGAGCTCAATTGGCCAAGGTAATGTAACCTAAACTTCATTTTTTATTATTGCATTGAATTTCTAATTAATACTGTATTAAATTTTTTTTTAATTAAAGAACTTCGAAGCCATGAAGATGGAATATTGTTACAAATCATCTATTATGTTTCCTTTATTTTTATTATTTTCAATATGTATTTTGTATTTTTATGGTTCCTTTATTATTTTATATGTATATGTATTGCTTTATTTTTATTGTACTATTTTACATTTTTTATTTTCATAGTAATACCTCGCCATAGTCACCTTTGATATAGTCATAAACTCAAGTGCTGTTATGGTTTATTTGTATGTTATACTATGTGAGGCTGATAAAATGGCCGAACCCTTCCAGAGGATCACATCATGTAAGAATCTAAAATGTAATGGAAATCTTAAATAAAAGCATACATGTTCGAACTTCTAATTATATACTGTACGCATTTATATTATAGTGTTATATGATAAACCTATACTAATATTTTTGCATCCGTGCTAATATTTTGTTTCCTCTGTCACACTTTACGTAATAATCAATACACATGTTTGTTTGTTTTGCACATGTGTAGCAGGAGCTTTTTCTTTACACCGTCTTACAGGCAATTTGCCCACGATTTTTGACAAACGCATTTTTGAGGCAGATCATATGTAAATTATAATTTAAAGGTAAATAATGACATAAGCAAATTAAATCATCCATCCAAGGACTTTCTGTTAATATCATTGTTGGCAGTGCATAGACCTTGCGTTCTTTGAATTCTTCGTTTACTATTTAGGGTCTTCAGAAGCTCTTTAATCCACATCGGACTTTCGGCACTATCGATACAGCTACGCTAAATATGGGTCAAAAAAACCCCCAGAGTTACCATCAAAAAAAAGTAAGGGCACGTGATGATATGCTGAAACGATCGTTTTGAAAAACATTACCTATTTTTCAAAGTCTTGCATAAGAAACCACTTTTGTAGACTAACAAAGGCTTTCCTTAAGTGATTACTATGTAACTGCATTTAGTCTAAACCCTAACTCTAAATGTAAACGAACTTTAAGAATTTTCGATCATCATGTGCACATGTTTTTTGATGGTTACGCTGGGAAAATCGGTCAAAAACCATGATATTTGATCAAGATGAGTGGGTATCAGCGATTACTAGACGATGTAAATTATAAATTATCAAAAATAATGGGAATAAGCTTTAAATAATAAAATTTTAAATCTTTCTGATGTGTGGTTTTCTAATTTTGTCTTTTTTTTTTTTTTGATGCCTTTGATAATCCAATTTATCGATGATTTAAGTTTATTGTTTTTATTAAATTCTTTAATAATTACAAGTTTATTAAACCTTCGCGCATTACTAATAACACTACTACTTTGTAGGTTCTAATGTAGTAAACAGGTTAAATTAAATAAGTTGAGTTTACTCTGGTTCAAATGAGTGAATATGTTCTGATTTTAATGAGTGGATAGGTTCGTAATTTTTATTTCAATAGTGGATGGATAGGTTCATGATTTTAATAGTCAGTGGATTCTTGATTACGACTGTGGGTGGGTTCATGACTCTAACAATATGCGAATAGTAATTTCAACTTGTGATTTCAACAGTAGATGGTGTGTTAGTGATTTCAACAGTAGGCAGGTTTGTTCATGATTTAACGTAAGATTCAGTAATTTTAACATCGGTAAATTAGTAATTTTAATAGCTGGTTGTTTATGATTCCAGTAATAGCTGGCTTATGATTTAATAGTGATTAAACAACAGATTGGTTCGTAATTTCAATAATGACATGCAGGGTTGCATGAACCATTCAGCACTAATAAATTGATAAACAATCAATATTATATCTGTTGACTACATTTAATAATATTGATAAAACAAATGAAGAGTAAAAATAAGCTTCTGATCTTAAAAATTGCTAAATATAAAATCGTCCTTTACACTACATATAAATAAATGTTTCAAAATCACAAATTTAATTGGGCTGTTTCTGAATTTATGGTAATATCTGGCTCCCGTCCCTGTAATGACGACAATATTGATTTTGTCTACCCCTGTAGAAATTTAATAACGAAAGATAATTAAAGTCAACTAAGAAACTAATAAAAAAAATTATAACTGATAAATAAACTATATAACTAATAATAAATAATTTATCATATTGAAGCTCTCCAATTTGTCATATTGAAGTTCTCTAATTTGTCATATTGAAGTTCTCTAAAATACAAGAATTTACATAACTGAGTAAAAAACCGCAAGAAATGATGCTTGAAGAAGGAGATTAGCTTCTATGACACCTGAAGAACAATTAAATTCCCGAAATAATGAATCAACAAAAAAAACAAGATCGGCGTAAACGTCAAAACACTATTGAAGAACGTAATATTAATTTATATATTTAAGAAAATCAAAAATTATAAAAATGTGTGAACGATTTATTAACTAAAGTTTTTTTTTAGTAAATCAACCCGTTTTTTCGTTACCGCCTGCCTGTCAGCTTTCTGATGACGGTCGTGGTCTTCTAAAGAAATTTTGCGAAGTAATTTCTGCGCTTAAGTTCAACTTCTGCCCTATTTGTAAAGAGAGTTTTCCTACTACTGTATTAATACATAAGACAGAATTATGTAATAGATACAGTAGAGAAAAATTAATAAGAAGGTTTTCAGCCAAGAATGATATGGATCCTGGTGCGTAAAAATATATATATTACTGATTGGTAATATAAAGATTGCAAAACTAAAATGGTTTAACTTCAGGAGAAATTCTCGCCAAGCTCCCTCAATTTAGTCAAATGGAAGAAACTTTTATTGCACAAATTCTTCCAATGTTAACTGCTTACAAGCTCCAAGGTGGACAGTTAGATATCGAGGACATATAATTAATTTTGCTCAAGAGATTCAAGAGCTTTTACAAAGTTACCTTGAAATCCTTCCACAATTGATACTTTAAATATTCGAAAAGCTAATCAAGATTTTACTTCACTTTAAGAATTTAAGGTCAAACGGTTAAATATTTTAATCTGGTTAAATCATCATAAAATTATGATCCTTTTTATTCCAATATTGAAATCGATCATGATATATGGCATACTTTTCTAGAAGATGTTCTATATTGACCGATTACGGATTGGTTAATAGTGCAATGGGAATGGTCGTCGATATTATATATGAACTAGAGAAGATGCCACCCACTTTGATTACAATAATACTGCCCAAAATGAATAATTATACAGGCCTACATCAAATAGTTCACAATTCGCCCAATTATGTATACATGGGAAGGAAAATCCGGAACTTGTTCTCGTATGCAATTTCTATTGTGCCTTGGTTGTGCAATTCCAATTCACAAATCACAAGGTTTAACATTATCACGAACTGTATTAGATATTAGCAATAAGGAATTTGCTATAGGTCTTACATTCATAGCTGTATCAAGAGTCCGTGCTCTTTCTGATCTTCTTTTCAATAGTGCTTTTTCTTATGATAGATTATAAAAAGTGGGAAAATTACATGTCTACAACAAAGATTAGTTGTAAATTATTAAATTGGAATTTGTCTTTTCACATGCACATCAATACAAACTTATAAAATATTCATAAAGTTATATTTAAATACTCAGTAAAAATGCCAAAAATTTTTACTTCAAATTTGAACAATTTAAACACTTAATAAATAACGTCGCCGTTATATTGCTAGTACTAATAGAGGCGTCGTTTATTCACCTCAATAGATAAATGTGTAAACTCTGGATATATTTTATAAATGTTAGTCTTGATTTGGTAAATATTCTATTATGATTTAAAAAATAGGAAAATACGTAGTACCTTAAAACTTATTAGGAAAAAAAATCTAAGAATAACTAAAATTTATTTAATTACATACAATGAAATTATTTAAATAAGAAAAAGCAAAATTTCACTCTATTATTTCTAGAAGAGATATTAAAATTTTGATAATTAAATGTGCCTAGTTGAATTATTTTTTGTTCCTGTTGCCAGTTAATAATTATTTGTTCAAATTCGCACGATTGATAAGAATTGTCTATATCATTAAAACTATAAAATCAAATTAATAAGCATGTAAAAAATAAGAATAAGAGGTCTTCAAATATTATTTACCAGCAGAATAAAGCTGTTCTCTGCGGAACCTTTTCATCATCCGTTAATTGATTTATATCTTTTATATCATAAACCGAGAGGTGCATTAAACATTTAGAATTAATTTTTGGTAGCCCAAGAACACATGTATTAAATTCTCTGTATTTTGAAAATTCTATTCCATACAGCCTATCTACTTTAGAAACAGGAAGTTCACCATTTTTAAGTATTACAGGGTATTTTATTCGGTTAAAGTCAAAATTTGTAGGCTGACCAACAATGATCCATCCAAATTTTATTGGGTGGTTTTTATATTTTTTGTATGGTAGTTTTTTAAGATGAACTATGATCAATGGAGTATGCTCATTCATATAACCTATTCGTAAAGAAAAAATGACTCTATCTTTCTGATCTAAAATCGAAGCAAATATATAGCAATTATTAATCTTTGTAATTTTATCCAAGTCCATAAATTGTGGGGCTAGTGAATGGACGTATGTTGCATTTTTGAAAAATCCCAATTCAATGGAATGTTATGGATACCCGCTACAAAATATAATTAAAATGTATTGAAATTAATTGATAGTAATATTATGACATTATGATGGTAAGAATTATTAATAAATCACATTAATAGTATACAAAGCTACCTTTTAAAATGCGGTGACCTAAAACATTTAAAATTTTTTGTTGTAAACTATAATCCAATATATCAAATATTGAATAAATTTCATCATATTCAATAATATCCCAAGTATCGCGATTGTTGAGAGAATTAACCCAAAGTTTTGAAGAGGAACTATTAACATATTCTTTATTTCCACCGATGATCCGAACTTCATAGTCTTGATTGCCATCAAAATCTGCTATCAGAACAAGTATTAACTCAAAATATTCGATAAAAAAAAGAATTTATGATTAATTAGTTGTAATTTACCTCTAATTTCATCAATCATGGCACCTCCAAAAACAAGACGGCATGCGTAAAAATTACCAAATTCGTTTGATAGCCTACGAAGCCGAGTTTCTTTATCATCACTTTCTAATGCATTCTCAACCTCCATAATAAAATTATTTGTAGGAGTAAGATTTGATTTTGAAATCTTAAGTTCTTCCTTTTCCCATTTTCTATATGAATATTCTATGGTTGTTACATCATTAAGCGTTTGGCGAGACGTAGCTCCAAGAAAAACAGAAAGAGAGGGGAAAAGATTTGATATATTTTTACAAGATATAAAGTTTCGTTTGAACAAAGCTTCCAATTTGCTGTCAAATTTTTCTACATTTTCTATTTCATTATTTATTTCAGTTTTTAATTCAACTTTGTTAACGTCAATTGTAAATGCTCGTTTGGAAGCTTTTTTAATAACAACATTGTTATCAAATATATATCCAAATTTCAAAGTTAAATCAAAACAAGATGATTGTTTATTATTTAGTGAGATGTATGTATTATCTAATCGCGTAAATTCAGAAAATCCAGGTATTTCTATACTTGCATCGTCGTTGCTAATGCTTTTTTTCCAAACATGTCGGTTCTGTACCGTGAGCATGTCTTGAATTTTATCAATGTATTTTTTTTTTTTTAAACCTGCTTGATTGCAGGACGCCGAGTAGGCTTTATTATTAACTCATTTGTATTAAAGGGGTCTTCTAAATTTGTAAGCAGAGATGCAAAATCGGCTCTATTGATTAATCGGTTTTTATTATACTGAATATACAAGCCGATCAGCCGATTTGTCATCTCTATTTGTAAGATCCCCCACATTTAAGAATTACATGATCGATATATTAACTATACTATATTTAGTTAATCCTAATCACTAGCAACTGGATTACCAGATTGCCCAACTACAACCGGGAACTGTACTTTTCCTTTTCTAGTTTTTACAACCGGATTTTACCGGATGACCAATTACAACCGGGGATTTTACCGACTGTCCTTTTCCTGGAGTTTTTTGTTTTTTTCGACCGGAGTTTCACCGGAGGTGTCCGACCTTGCGATTGAGCGCAGCCACTACGCTATCGACCCACGGGTCTCATTTTATCAAAGTTCTTTGGGTGGAATGTATTTATGCTTTTCATTATTGTTATTATTGCTTGTATATCCATTACTTCTCATTTTTTCTGAAGTAAAATGTAATATTATAATAATGCATGTATACATGGGTGCCTAAATTATGGATGATTTACGGCAGACGTAATGTCGAAATTTTTTTACTATTTTAGCCACAGCGTTTCAAAATGTTATGTGTCTAAATTATTTTTGGTTGCCTATAT